TCCTCCTCCTCCCCCGCACGCAAGGCTCCTGGCTCCCGGCGCGGGGCCCGAGAGCGAACTCGGGAGCAGCGCGGAGCTCTCTGAGTCCCTGTTCGCCGACTGCGTGAGGGACTCCTCCCCCCTCCTCCCTCCTCCCGTCCTCCTCCTCCATCCTCAATCCTCCTCCTCCTCCTCCATCCTCAATCCTCCTCCTCCTCCTCCTCCTCCCTCCTCCTCCTCCCTCGTCCCCTCGTCGAGGCGAGGCGACAGGGGGAGGAGGGGGACGAGCCCGAAGGGGGAGCAGGGTGGAGCAGCATGGACTGCGACCGGGCTGTCGCAGGACGCAGGGGTCGGCACGTCGCGCGCGCCCCTGGCCCCGGAGAGCGCCGCCGCGGCAGGAGGAGGAGGAGGAGGAGGAGGAGGAGGAGGAGGAGGAGGAGGGGGAGGAGGAGGAGGAGGAGGAGGAGGAGGAGGAGGAGGAGGAGGAGGAGGACGAGAGGGAGCAGGCGGCCCAGCGCGTCGCCGCGGCAGCGCTGCCCTCGGAAAAACGGCGGCCCCACGGGGCTGCCGCGGCGCTCGCCGCTGCCCGCTGCCGCCTCGGGCAGCGGCGCGGCGGCGTGCGGCCGAGCAGGGCCCAAACACGCCCCGCCGAGGCTCCGCCCACGCGCCCCGCCGAGGCGCCGCTCCTGCTGCTGCTGCTGCTGCTGCTGCTGCTGCTGCTGCTGCTGCTGCGGATGATGATGATGATGATGATGATGATGATGATGATGATGATGATGATGATGATGATGATGATGATGATGATGATGAGGATGAGGATGAGGATGAGATGAGATGATGAGGTGATGAGGATGAGGATGAGGATGAGGATGATGAGGATGAGGATGAGGATGAGGATGAGGATGAGGATGATGAGGATGAGGATGAGGATGAGGATGAGGATGAGGATGAGGATGAGGATGAGGATGAGGATGAGGATGAGGATGAGGATGAGGATGAGGATGATGATGAGGATGATGATGATGATGAGTCTGGTGATGATGTTGATGATGATGATGAGGAGGAGGAGGATGATGATGAGTGTGGTGACGATGTTGATGACGATGATGATGATGCTGCGGCTGATGGTGATGTTGATGATGAAGATGATCATGGTGATGCTGTCGACGATGATGATGGTGATGGCGATGATGCTGATGCTGATGCTGATGCTGCTGCTGATGATGATTGGTGGTGGTGATGATGCTGATGCTGACGCCGATGATGAGCTGCTGATACTGATGCGGGTGCTGCTGATCATGCTGATGATGATGATGATGATGCTCATTGTGGTGATGATGATGACGATGTTCATGATGATGATGTTGATGCTGCCAACGATAGTCATCATGATGATGGCGATGATTGCGGTGATGATGTTGATGATGGTATCGTTGATGGCAACGATGATGGTACTGGTGCTGATGACGCTGCTGATGATGATGAATATGTTGGTAATGATGATGGCGATGATGATGCTGATGTTGTTGATGATGATGTTGTTGATGGTGATTATGCTGGTTATGGTGATGATGTTGGCTTCGATGATGCTGGTGCTGATGTTGCTGCTGATGCTGCTGATGATGATGCTGCTGCTGATGATGATGATGATGATGCTGATGATGATGATGATGATGATGGTGATGGTAATGATGATGATGATGATGACGATGATTGCCGTCTAGCGCCGAAGCGCCGAAACATTTTGACCAAGAAGTCTGGCTCGCACGGGACTCTGTGTGAGTCTTTGGGCAGCCTCGTTTCTCTTGGGGGGGGGAAGGGCAGCAGGTGGGCTCCACCGAGGAGAGCCTGAGAGGCGCACGCGGAAGGTGGTCGTGGCTCTCCAGGCTTTTACTTCTCCTCCTCCTCCTCCTCCTCCTCCTCCAATCCTCCTCCTCCAATCCTCCTCCAATCCTCCTCCTCCTCCTTCTCCTCCTCCTCCTCCTCCTCCTCGATCCTCCTCCTCCTCCTCCTCGACCCTCGAGCCTCGAGCCTCGATCCTCGATCTTCGATCCTCCTCCGCCGTTGGATGCGCTGAATGCGGTGTCCATGATGGCGCGTGCGGCGGTCCGAGACGGAGTCGGGTGCCCTTGCCAGGCGCGGCGGCAGCAAGGAGAGGTGGCTCTCCGTCCTCGTATCCATCCTCGTCCCCAGCAGGAGGAGGGAACAGGAGGAGTGGGAGGAGGAGGGATGAGGAGGAGGAGGAGAAGGAGGAGGAGGAGGAGGAGGAGGCGGAGGCGGAGGCGGAGGCGGAGGGGAGGAGGATTAGGAGGAGGGGGAGGATGAGGAGAAGGAAGGCGGTGGAGGAGGAGGAGGGAGGAGGAGAGGAGGAGGAGGAGGAGGAGGAGGAGGAGGAGGAGGAGTGGGGAGGAGGAGGAGGGGGAGGCGGAGGGGGAGGAGGAGGAGGAGGGGAGGATCGGGGAGGAGGAGGAGGAGGAGGAGGAGGAGGAGGAGGAGGATGGAGGAGGAGGCGGAGAGGGAGGAGGAGGAGGAGGATGGAGAGGAGGAGGAGGAGGAAGGTGAGGAGGCCGGGAGGATCGAGGAGGAGGAGGAGGAGGAGGAGAAGAGGAGGAGGAGGAGCGAGGGGAGGCCTGGCAGGCCTGGCGAGACATGGGCTCGGGTCTGGCCCTGCTGCTGGCAGCCTGTCCTCCGTGCCCCCCTTCCCACCCCCCACCCCGCCCCTGCACTCCCCATCATCATGTCCTCCTCGTCTCCATCCTTGTCCTCAACCTTCTTGGAAGGAGCTACTCCGTGACGCGGCCAGTCTGGATCCCCTCGGCCATGCAACTTCTCCTCGGGCCCTCGAGGCTGTACTTGCCCTCGTCCTCTCTGGCAGGGGCTACTCCGTGACACGGCAAGTCGGGATCACCTCGGACGACTACCCTAGACATGCGACGTCATTTTTTTAGGAAAGCGTCCCCAGAAGTCCCGACCGTTTTCCCTAGGACCGCCTTCCATCCCGAGTCGTTTTTTTGACCGTCCCGGGGCCGGCGAGGGCCCCCCACCGCCCGCAGATGGCAACAAAGACGCCCGCCCCGATTCTTGTTACGACGCGATCATGTCCGGGCCCGCCCGCTCGGCTTCGGGATGCTCCTCGGCGTCAGCCACCGCCGCGGCGCCGCGCGCGAGAGCGGCGTGGCCGCCGCCGACACCGGGGTCGCTGCGCTCTCGGCCGGCCGTACGCCAGCGTGGCCGGGCCGCCGCCGCCCGGCGGCGGGGACGCCCAGGGCAGCCTCCGCGCCGAGAGCGCCGCCGCTTCCGCCGCCTCCTCTCGGCGGCGCGTACAGGCGGGCATGGGGGGGGAAGGCTTCGTGTAAGCACCCGGCTTCCTGGAAGGCGCGCGCGGGCCTCGTCTTCTGTAGATGTAAGGCCCGCGCGCCCTGAGGAGCAGCCTCCCTCTGAGAGGCCTTCCCCCCAGCCCCTACCCTTTCGTGCGCGCCGCCATCCCTTGGCTGCGATGATCGCGCCCGCACCTGCAGAGGAGCACCACTGCTGGCCCGCCGCAGCTTGCCCCCCCGGCCCCAGGAACGCCCTGCCGCGAGGAGAGTCAAGCCAGGCGGCGCACAGCCAAAACTGATAGCGAGCACGCCCGCCTGTCCCGAGGGTGCCCTCGCGGCGGGCTCCGCCGCGTCCTCCGCCTCCCTTTGGCTGCGGTGATCGCCCCGCGCCTGCGGAGGAACACCACCCCTCTCCCTTCCAGCGGTGGAGCCCTCCGCCGCCCGCCCCGCACTGCCATGGCGGGTCCGCCGCTCTCCGGTGCCACGCCGCCTTCCTGCACGTGATGGGCAGCGAGGACGCGTCAGGCGCGCCCTGCTGTTATCCGCGCGCCCTCTCTTGCTAGCCTAGGGTTGTTCGTTCCCGCGGACGACCTCTTGGTCGGCGCCCACCACCCTCCTTGCCGTAGGCCGACAGCTGTGCAGCGATGCCCCGACGGTTTGGGCGACGGGCTCCCGTCCGCGTCTCCGCCGCCGTTCCCGGGAGCCCCTGCAGCTCGCGGTGCACTGGACGGGCTTCTCGGGGAGCCCACGGAAAGCCGCAGGTGGCGCAGGCACGAGCGAGGAGACGGCATTCGGCTCTCCGCTTGGGGCGGTCGTGCAGGAATGTGCCCAGGAGGCTCCAGACCCTGGAACAGGCCTTCTCTGACGAGGGCCGCGGCGGTGTCTGTGGCCAAGCCTCGCGTGGTGCTCTTCCGGCTGTCAGACCCTGGACTCCTTACCCAATGGTTCCTGCTGGTGAGGAAACTCGGGGCTTCTGTGGGTAGCTCGCTCAGCAGGCACATGTCGTCCGCAAGGACAGTGAACGCTTTCTGCGAGCTCCTGAAAATGCCCTTCCTCCCAACAACGCCGAACACTGCGTACAATTTCGCCGCCGTGATAACACACGAAGGCACGCAGAGGACAATGCTGTCAGCGTTGTGCACGTTCCATCGTCTGGGAGGATGCCACTGGCCGGTGGACCAGTCCCTAGTCTTGGCCGACATCAGGTCCAGTGCGCGCAAGTTGCAGCCTCCAGCACCTCCCGGGCCTCGTATTCAGAAAAGCAGGCTGCGGCAGCTCTTGGCGCATTGTGCCCAGACCGGGAGTACCTTTCGGGGCATGGGTTATGATGCTCCAACCTACTGTAGCCTTGACCACCAGAAAGAATTTCGAGCACTTAGAAAGTACCGAAACTGGAGGGCTTTCACGTGTCGGGCCCTGGGAGGCGATACTCGTACGAAACTGTTTCGATACCTTCCTGGGTGCTGGAACTTATTTCTGGGATGTGGTCCTTATGTACGATGGGAGCGGCATGAGGCATGGGTCACATGATTTGGCCTGTGCGTTCCTGCTCCGAGTCCCATCCGAGCTCGTGGGGCAGTTCAAGCCTTTGCAAGTTAACAAGGGGGCGCAGTGCGATTCGGCCCCGTGGGGCGCAAAGGGCAGCTGCACGCGCAGTCCACGCTCGAGGCCACATGATTTTTCAAAGCCGACCCCGTGGCTTGCATGCACGCGTGGGCGTCCTGGCTGCTTTCTGGCCGCGGCGACCCCAATGAACTTGTATACCCGCCAGGGTACTGCAGCAAGTTCCTGGCTGGTCTTCGCGACGGCCTTGCTGCCGTCGGCACGTCGGCGGCAGACGCCTCCGGCTCAGGGACAGCTTCCCGTGTTTCCCGCCATGGGGCCGCGATCGGCATCCAGGACGCTGACGGGTTTGCCGCGGCCTGCGCCAGAGGGGGATAACGGAGCAGGGCAGTCACGGCCTACATACCGCCTACCACAACGAAAGCCCCCGCCATAGCTGAGACGTTGCGCATGGAGTCGGACGATGAGGCGAAACCCGATTTAATATTTCCCCCGTCGCCAGTAGAAAAACGACAGGAGTGGGAGGCAGGCTCCCCCCCTTCCTCCGCCTGCAGCGTGGGCTCGCGCGCAAGAGCGAGCCGCGACCCACCCGCGTCCACCCGTCGGGGGGGCGCGGACCTGTCGGAACGCTCCTATGGAAAAGCGGCAGGAGTGGGAGACAGGGGACCAACGCCTCCTTCCTCTCTCCCTCCCCTCCTCCTGTTCCTCCTCCTCCACATCCTCCTCCTCTTCCGCCTCCCCCTCTTCCGCGCGCGCTTTGCCCCCCCCCCCCCCCTCCCCCCCTCCTCCCTCCTGTTCTCCTCCCCCGCCTCCTCCCTTCGTTCCTCCCTCTCTTGCGGCTACTCCTTCCCCTCCTTCTCCCCATCCTCCTGCTCCTCCTCTCCTCTACACCTTCGTCTTGCGGGAGACGACCAGTGGAGGGGAGGCATGTTGTCAAATAGTTACCGGATGTTTAGAATATGTGTTAAGCATGTTCTAAGCGTGCATTCATCCTCTTTGAACCATGTTGTACGTAGTGTAAACATATGTGTAATTTAAACATATGTCAGAACACATGTTAAATCCAATGAGAGGGTTGTTAGAGTGTCCATTGCCATGGCATCGACAACCTCCCTCCCTCTTTCCAGAGGAGTCGCAGACGCCGTGGCTGGTGCACTTCCATTCGGGGAGGTGCGGCACGTGTCAGGAGTTCCGATCCACCATCCGAAAATGAAGAGGGTGATTGAGAAGAGCGGGGTAAGCAGGATGCGGAAGATGAGGAGGGTGACGGGGAGTACGACGACGATGATGGTGACGATGGCAATGGTGATTAACATGAACTTGATGATGTGTCTATGGTGGCGATGGTGATGTTGTTGGTGGTGGTGATTCGGATGCGCATGGCGACGAACATGTGGATGACAATGATGAGCAATTCAGTGCCGCTGAATCAGCCGAGTGTTTGATGCTTAGGATTAGGAAACGTATGATGAGGAGGAGGTGGAGGAGGCCTCATGCTCCTCCTCATATGATTTTGCTCCGTCCTTTCCTTTTTTCGGGGGCGTGTGCCTGAGAGTTCCAGCCCATTTTGCGGTTCTCCACCTTCCCCATCGTCTCTTCTTCTACCCGGGCGCAGCGCAGGAGTTCCAGCCCACGTGGCGGGAGCTGGTGAGGCGGCTGAGCGTGCACAGGCCGTCCCTGAATTGCCGCGCCGGCCGGGTCGATATCGACGAGCGGGAGAATCTGAGGCTCGCGTCTGAAGAAGGACCCATTTCTCCTCCCTTCCTCCCCATCCTCCTCCTATTCCCTCCTTCTAATTGTTCTCCATTCCTTCTCCTTACCTATACGACCACCCTTCGGGTGATAAGGAGGTTCGGGGGGGGGGGGGACCAACGTCTCACTCGATCGGTCTCACTATCGATCTCAGTATCGATCTCACTATCGGTCTCGCTCGATCGATCTCACTCGATCGATCTCACAAGCGATCTCACTCGATCTATCTCATTCGATCGATCTCACAATCGATCTCACATTCGGTCTCAATATCGATCTCACTATCGATATCACAATCGCTCTCACAATCAACGTCATCATCATCGCCATCATCATCATCATCATCATCATCAACATCATCAACATCAACATCATCACCAACATCGTGATCATCATGAGGGCACCTTCATCATCAACATAATCATCATAAACATCATCATCAACGTCAGCATCACCATCGGGACAACATCATCATCATCATCATCATCATCACCATCATCATCTCATCATCACCATCACCATCATCATCATCATCGGGACACAGTCATCGTCATTATCATCAGCAGCATCATCATAATCATCATCATAATCGGGACACCATCATGATCACCATCGCTCTCATCATCAACATTATCATCAACATCATCATCATCCTCGGGACACCATCGTCATCATGACCATCGCATCATCATCATCGACATCATCATCAACAACATCATCATCATTGGGGCACCATCATCATGAGCAACATCATCATCAACATCGTCATTATCATTATTATCATTATTATCATCATCGGGACACCATCAGCATCACCATCATCATCATCACCATCATCATCATCATCAGCATCATCATCGGGACACCATAATCATCATCAACATCATCATCAACATCATTATCGCCGGGATACCATTTCCATCAACATCATCATCATCACCAACATTATCGGAATCATCATCATCATCATCAACATCATCATCATCATCATCATCATCGGGACACCATCATCGTCATCATCATCAATATAATCATCATGAGCATCATCATCCTCATCATCGGGACACTATCATCATCATCGACACCATCATCAACATCATCATCTTCATCGGGACACCATCATCATCATCTCATCATCATCATCATCATCTTCATCATCATCATTATCAGCATCATCAGCATCATCATCATCATCATCATCATCATCATCATTTCATCATCATCATCATCATCATCCTCGCGGGACACCGCGGGACACCGGCGGGACACCGCGGGACACCGCGGGACACCGCGGGACACCGCGGGACACCGCGGGACACCGCGGGACACCGGCGGGACACCGCGGGCCACCGGCCGCCCTGAAGGGAGACATTTGGTCCGGCCGCGCCTCAGCCACACGGGACACCAGGGGGACACCGGCGGGACACCGCGGGCCACCGGCCGCCCGGAAGGGAGACATTTGGTCCGGCCGCGCCTGAGCCACAGGAGACTTTCTCTCGCCCGCCCACGCCGCTTCACCTCGCCCGCACGGCACGCACGAACACGAAACTGAAATCGATTTCCCGGTAGGGGGGCTCTCCGTTCCACTTCGATCTCACCCCCTCACATCCGATAAATCAGTTCTCCCTGTCGCATTCCGAGGCCAGTGTTTAGGGCGGGCCGGGCTTTTCGCTTAAGATTTCCTCACCATTTACAACCCTGAAGCTTAACAATTGCCAACTGTTTCACAAATGGAAGACGAGTGCTTTTTTCAAAGTGTGGCTCTCGCCTTAGCGCCGCGCAGTTTCTTTTTCAACACTTGCAAGAATTTCACGGATTGAGGGCGGGTGGTTTTCAAAATGTGGCTTTCGCCTTAGCGCCGCGCACATTCGTTTTAAGAATTTCAAGAGCTTCACGGATTGAGGGCGGGTGGTTTTCAACATGTGGCTCTCGCCTCAGCGCCGCTCGCATTCGTTTCCAAACAATTTCAAGCTTCCCCGATTGAGGGCGGGTGGTTCTCAAAATGTGGCATTCGCATTGGCGCCGAGCACACTCTTTTTAAGAATTCGCAAGAGCTTGAGGCTCTTGCGAATTCGTGGAACTGCTTCACGGATTGAGGCTGCTTCACGGATAGAGGGCGGGTCGTTTTCAAAATGTGGCTCTCGCCTTAGCGCGGCGCAAATTCGTTTTCAAATTTTGCCAGAGCTTCACAGATTGAGGGCGGGTGGTTCTCAATATGTGGTTTTCGCATTAGCGCCGTGCACACTCGTTGTCAACATTTGCAAGAGTTTCACGGATTGAGGGCGGGTGGTTTTCAAAATGTGGTTTTCGCCTTAGCGCCGCGCGCATTCGTTTTAAGAATTTGCAAGAGCTTCACGGATTGAGGGCGGGTGGTTTTCAACATGTGGCTCTCGCCTTAGCGCTGCGCGCACTCGTTTAAACATTTGCAAGAGCTTCACGGATTTCCTTGGTCGACATGTCAGAAGTTTCGTTTTGGAAGGACTCGCGATCTGGAGGGCGCAACAGTTAGTACGATTCGCGGAGTTGAGGTCCCAGGAATGGCGTTCTGGCACGATTCAGGATCGTCAAGGCGCAACAGTCAGGTTCAACCGTGGCGTTGGAATACAGAGAATAATGTTTTGGCATGCTTCAGGGTCTTCAAACGGTTGTCTTCCAACGAGGCAAGTCCATCTGTGGAAATGAACCGTTGTAGGGGTCTATGAAGAGGGAACTCCGGGGAAGGGTTTATTCCAACTTCGTTGGTAACTCATGGGTTTACACTGGTCCTCCTCCTCCCCCTCCTCCTCCTCCTCTTTCTTCTCCTCCTCCTCCTCCTCCTCCTCTTTTTTCTTCCTCCTTCCCCTTCTCCTCCTCCTCCTCCTCCTCCTCCTCTTCCTCCTCCTCCCTCCTCCTCTTCCTCCTCCTCTTCCTCCTCCTCCTCCTCCCTTCTCCTCCTCCTCGTCTTCCTCTTCCTTCTCTCCTTCTCCTCCTCCTCCTTCTCCTCAACCTCCTTCTTCTCCTCCTCCTCCTCCTCCTCATCATCATCATGATCATCGTTAACAACAGCATCATCACCATCATCATCATGACTATCATCACCATCCTGATCGTCAGCATCACCTGCAGCATCATCATCACCACCATCCTCCTCATCGTCGGCATCATCAACATCATCATTAGCATCATCAGTACAACCAGCATCGTCATCATCATCGTCATCATCACCATCATCATCATCATCAGCATCATCACCATCATCATCCTGATCATCAGCATCGTCATCATCATCACCATCATCATCATCATCGTCATCACCATCCTCATGAGTAGCATCCAGAGCATCATCATCACCATCTTGAGCATCATCGTCATCATCATCATCCTCATGAGTAGCATCCAGAGCATCATCATCACCATCTTGAGCATCATCGTCATCATCATCATCATCATCATAGTCAGCACCATCACCATCGTTGTGAACACCCTCATCAGCATCATCAACAGCATCACAAGCATCATCAGCAGCATCATCCTCAGCATCCTAATGTTCATCGTTGTCATCTTCACAGTCATCATCATAATCATCATTATCATCATCATCATCATCATCATCACCATCATCATCATCATCATCATCATCATCAACAACATCATTATCATCATCAGCAGCATCAGCATCATCACCATCATCATCATCGTCAGTACCATCACCATTGTAGTCACCACCAGCATCATCATCAGCATCATCATCATCATCAGCATCAGCATCATCCCATCTATTAATCATCATCATCATCATCATCATCATCATCATCATCATCATCAGCATCATCATCATCATCATCAGCATCGTCATTGTCATCGTCATCATCATCATCAGCAGCAGCATCATCAGCGCGTGCGCTTCTGGTTAGCAAGTCCTCTGAACGGTCGCGGTTTGTGGTATCTCGTGGCTCGTCGGACGCATGCACTCTCGCCTCAGCGTCGTCGGCCTGGGGCTCATTTGCCAGGGAGGGCCCATGCTGTAAATATTGCCGGGGTCACGGCCTTTGTTGCATGGTAGTTGGCCTATTGAGGGCCAGCGCGCTTGTGCAATCATACAATTGACTTTAGCTATGCTGTCTGCGGTGTATGTGGGGGGGGGGGGCGCCGCAAGTTGCCTAGATGGAATCGGGCCTCCATTGCCACCATCTCCAAGATTAACCCTCCACGCGCACGAGGTTGAGAGCCATGCAGCAGACGCCCGTGCCACCGAGCTGGCCATCCCCGAGTTGTGGCGGTATGGCAACGGTCATGTCGGCAGTTTTACAGAGCAGGCAGTGATGCGCTGCCAACCTTACGTCGGGCCTACCCCTCTACAGGAGGAATATCCAAACATAGTCAAAAATAGTCTGGTGACGAGTTCCTATTCTGTTTGAGCATGTTTGCTTTGTTGGGCTATCTTAAAGTTTTCCTCCAAACTCCGCCTGTAGGCGGGCATGCCCGACCTAATACCAACCCGCCCCTGTGAGCACTGCGCGGGTGACTGACGTAGAGGCTCGCGCGGTGCTGCTCAGTGCGGAGGTCGACGTTCGCCAGAGGGTCGAGAACCCAAAGCCTCCGACTCACCGCAGCCCCGCCTCACCAATTTAGAAGAGGAAGAGAACGCCATGAACATCAACTTTTGGCGATCCGCGCGGATTTCTTGGATCTGCGCTGTACCCCCCTCCCTGGCGCGCGGAGCGCACCAGGGGCGGTGCAGGACCCCGCCGCCAGCGGGGCCCAGCTTGGATCCAAGAAATCCGCGCGGAGCGCCAAAAGTTAATGTTTATGGCGTTTTCTCTTCTTCTGCAGTTTCCAGTTGACCATGCATGCTGGCCTCGGAACGCACCAGGAGAAGGGCACACATGGTTCATTTCTGAGGATTCGAAAGGTCTTCCATGTTTTGGGGGCCAAGATCCTTTCATTTCCAATGGTTCTATCCTGGGCCTCTTCCTCGCCACCAGGGGGCCAGGAACAATTAAAAGCGAGCGCAGTCAGTTAATTTTGACATGAGCACGATGAGAAAGGAGCCGCGTGTGTGACTTCGGGGCACTCGGCGCCTGTGCTGCACCGCCCGCCTCGTCGGGACCGCGCGGCCGCAAGGGGCCGAGGCGAGGCCACGCCTCGCCTCTCTCTGTGTGGGCACCTCCCACGCCCGCCTCCCGCAGGCCCAGGCTCGGTGGCTCCAGCGCGGGGTCTTGCGGGGCGGGGTCCCGAGCACAAGGAGGGCATCCCTGGGGGGAGCCTGCACTGTTCCCAGACCCCCTCGAGTCATGAAAAAATCACGACGGAAGGTTTTTCTATATTTTCCGCCTCTGGGGGCCCTGACCGGCCCTCGGGACCGTCAAAAAACGACTCGGGATGAAAAACCGGTCCCGGCGAATAGGTCCGGACCTCTGGGGATCGCGTCATGAAAAAAATCATGACGTCGGGGGTCTGGGTTGGAGGCACCTCGTCCTCGGGACCCCCCTCCCTCGGGGCCCCGCCTCGGAAGCACCGGCCCGAGCCTCGGCGGGCGAGCCGCCAGGGCACCCCACGGGCCCCACCGCGCCGAGGCCCCTCCCGGCACTCCCCCGTGTGCCTTGCGGTACCGTGCCCCCCGGACGCGGGTGCGGGTCGCCTCCGCCGCGCTGCGACGCAGCCACGAGGCGGAGGGGGAGGAGGAGGAGAGAGGAGAGAGAAGAGAGGAGAGAGGAGAGGAGAGAGGAGAGAGAGAGGAGAGAGGAGGAGAAGAGAGAGAGAGGAGGGAGGCGGAGGAGAAGGAGGAGGAGGAGGAGGAGGAGGAGGAGGAGGAGGAGGAGGAGGGGGAGGAGGAGGAGGAGGAGGAGGGGGAGGAGAAGGAGGAGGAGGAGGAGGGGGAGGGGGGGGGAGGAGGAGGAGGAGGAGAGGAAGGAGGGAGGAGGAGGAGCGGCCAGCGGGGGAGGTCGCGGGCCCGGCCCACGAGCGCGGGGCCCCCGGGAGAAGCGGGCCGCGACGGCCTGCACACAGCAGCGGCTCGGGGTGCCCCAGGGCGCCCCGCGCAGCCGCCGCCGAGGGGCGGGGGGGCAGCCGCTGGGGCGGGCTGCCGAAGAGGCGGCGGAGGCGGGGCGCCCGAGCTTGCCGCTGCCGTGGGGGCGGTGCGCTTGGCCACCTCGCTGGACGACCGCCTGCGTCGGATGCTGCCCCCTCACTGCCACCGGTGCGTCCACCGCAAGAGACGAGAGGGCTCGGCCACCACCGCGCTCCAGGGGCCGCCCGCCGCCTGGTCACTGACCCCATTCGCTGACATTGCGCTCCTACCCCTCCTCCTCCTCCTCCTCCTCCTCCTCCTCCTCCTCCTCCTCCTTTTCCCTCCTCCTCCTCCTCCTCGTCCTCCTCCTCCTCCTCCTCCTCCTCCTCCTTCTCCCCTTCCTCCTCCTCCTCCTCCTCCTCCTCCTCCTCCTTCCTCCTCCTCACTTCTCTCCTCTCAACATCCTCCTCCTCCTCCTCCTCCTCCTCCTCCTCCTCCTCATTCTTCGTCCCCTCCACTTCGTCCTTCCTCGTCCGGCCTCGCCCCCTCCACCTCCTCGCCCTCCGCCTCGCTGGCGAGCAGGAGTGCTGGGGTCTGGGGTGCCCAGCATCGCGCTCTACGGGGGGCGTGGCGCCGCTGCGGCGATCGTCTGGGCGTACGACGCGACCAGGGACGACCTGGAGTCCTCCTCCTCCTCCTCCTCCTCCTCCTCCTCCTCCTCCTCCTCCTGCGGGCTTCCTCCCCCCTCCATCTTCCCCTTCCTCGGTGATTCTTTTCCTTGCTCCCTCCTCCCTCCTCCTGCTGATCCTCCTCCTCCTCGCCCTCCTTTTGCGTTCCTCCCCCACGATGGGACCTCAGCCCCGTCCCCGCCGAGTTCGTCGTCCTCCTCCTTCTCGCCTTCTTTTTTGTACTTCCCTCCCATATAAGGGCCTCTGCCTCCCCCTTCGTCCTCCTACTCTTCCTGATTCCGCCCAAACCGCACTATCGTTATGTAGGTATCTCGGTCCCGCCGAGTCTGTCCTCCCCCGCTTCTCCTCTTCCCGCCTCTCCTCCTCCCTATCGTCCGACGCCCTTGCTTCTCATTGGACGGGGCGTTGCCAATTTCCGCCTCGTGCGGTCCAGGATGCAACCGAGTTGGTCGCCCACGCAGTGGCCATTCCGTAGCGCGATGCCACCGTGTGCTTGGACCTGTGCGCGTTGCCCCGGGAACCTTGCCAGGAAGGTCGCGCGGACGTCTATAGCAATGCATAGGAGCAGAGGGCGGTTATAGAACGGCAGTCGTCGAAGGCTCGTCGCACGCATCGGCGCCCACCAAATTTTGGCTGGAGGTGCCAGGGTTTGGAAAGAGGTGACAAGCGGAAGTCCAAAGGGTTCGTTCGCCTCGTCAGCTCACCCCGCGCGGCCGTTGCGGCGGATGCGGTCGCGCCGCAGGCACCTGTCTTAAACGCATCGAGCAGCTACAAGGATTGATGACGGTCTCTTGTTTAAATGTAGCTCTGCGCCCGACTTTGCTTCTTACAGCTAGACGTTGACGCCTGTGCTACAGGTACATAATAATTGGATTGATGAGTGTTGTCCAGAGGAGGGCCGCTCGAGGTTGTTACTGTAAAGCCATACTCATATGTGAGGCATATCCAGGGAGGCTCCTTAGCCAGGGCTATTGCTGGAGGCTTCGTCGATGTTTCTAGTCCTACGTACCTCTTCGCATCTCTTCTAGCTTGAGGAGTTGGATGCTTCGTTCATGCTGATATTCCTAGAGCGAGTTCGCGGCTGAATTCGGGCTCAAGATCCGCACCGGCAAAATCAAGTTCATGCCGAACGTGCAGCAGCGCAGGGGCGCCCTACGACAACGTCACGTGAAGGTGGGAGAAGGACAGGTGGAGGTACTTTCCATCGGCGACAGCACGGCATACCTTGGCATACAGCTCACTGTCGGAGACTACCACGACATGGAGATCAGACATCGAATATCGAAAGGTTGGGCAGCTTTTGAACGTTTCAAGTCGGAGTTGCGCAACATACATTATTAGCTGAGATCCAGATTCCCATTGTTCGACGCTGTCGTATCTTCTACTGTTCTATACGGGTGCGGGTCATGGACACTCACCACGGAACGATCGGAAAAACTCAACGTGGCATGCGCAAAATGTTCAGGAATATCGTCGCCGTTGGCAATGCGCCAGATGAGTCTTACGCCGACTGGATCGTGCGAGCCACGCATCCTGCAGAGCAGGAGAATGATAGATTTGGCTTCCCCGCGTGGCTGCAAGCGAAGGAGCAGCGCAAATTCAGACTTTTAGAGAGACTTCAGACGTGCACGGATCGGCGCTAGGAAAGCATTGCGCTGCAGTGGGACCCGATTGGAAGGAGGTCCATTGGGCGCCCCGTGAAGCGGTGGACAGACTGAATATTTTGTCGTTCTTGGAATTCTTGTCTGCTATTTCTTGTTTGGTGCGTGCGAGAATCATCGATAAGCCTGGTTGTGAGAACTTTCAAGACTAGGGCGTGCGAGAATCATCGAGAAAGTGTGACCCGCGCGCGCAGCAGCCCGCGCAGGGCGCGCTCCGGCGCATGCTGCCTCTGACCCTCTGACAGACCCTATTATATTCCTACCCCTATATGTTCGCAGTTTTTCTAGCTCGAAGAATGCAGGGCAATCCCATGCCGAATGGGGGCTCTCCCGCTTGAGGGGCAGGCCCATGGGCTGCTCGTCTTTCAGAAGGTAGCGGACCAAGGTAGTGAAGAGGTATGCGCTCTTGCAGGGACTGCTTCGGAGGGGATCTTTGGCACGGTCGCCAGGGCATCTTAGGTTCGCATTCCCACACATGCTGGCGTCTTTAAACATCAGGAGGGAAGGTGTTTCGCTGTTTTCAGCCCCTGGGGGCCCTCGCCGGGCCCCGGGAGCGTCAAGGAACGACTCAGGATGCAAAACCGGTCCCGGGGAACGGGTCGGGACTTCGGGGGACGCCGCATTGAAAAAATCAGGACGTCGCATGTCTGGGTTTGCATTGGTCCGCCTCCTCAGTGGGTCAGCGGGCAGTGGGTTCGGGGGCCCCGTGCCTTCGGAGCCTGCCTCTGTGCACGTGAGCCAGCGCCGCTCTGCGGAGGGCGCCGCTCCTTCCGTGATGCTGCCTTGGGGGGGTGCAGAAGCGATCCGATTCAGAGGTCTGTCCGCACCGAGCGAGGAAGGCTGTCCCACCGAGTCCAGCAGCACCACCACTGCAGACATCCGCCCGTCGCCCGTGGGCCTCCTCGTCCTTTTGCCCCTCCTTCTCCTCCTCCTCCTCCTCCCCCTCCTCCCCCTCCTCCTCCTCCTCCTCCTCCTCCTCCTCCTCCTCCTCCTCCTCCTCCTCCTCCTCCTCCTCCTCCTCTCCTCCTCCTCCTCCCTCCTCCTCCTCCTCCCCTCCTCCTCTCCCTCCTCCTCCTCCTCCTCCTCCTCCTCCTCCTCCTCCTCCTCCTCCTCCTCCTCCTCCTCCTCCTCCTCACCGCCGGCCGCTCAGGGTCGAGACGATCCACCGCAGCGGCCGAAGCCAGCGCGGGGGTCGTCCCGACACGAACTTGTGGTATTTGTCTGTGCCTGCGCTTTGCCGGACGGAGCCAGGACGATGATTCCGTGGCAGAGCTTTCCAGGCAGCTCCCAGAGCGTCCCGTAACGCTTTGAGAAGGCCGCGGCGCCCGAGACATCCTCCAGAGCCACCGGCTCTCAACGATTCTCGATTTAACCTCTAAAGGTCTTTAGTTTTGACCCCCCCTCATTCGCTCGGCGGTGTGTAGGACCGGTCCTAAAACCTCTTCCTCCTCCTCTCCCCGCTCCCCCTCCTCCTTCTCCGCCTCCTCCTTCTCCTCCTCCTGCTCCTCCTCCTCCTCCTCCTCCTCCTCCTCCTCCTCCTCTCCTCCTCCTCTTCCTTCTCCTCCTCCTGCTCCTCCTCCTCCTTCTCCTCCTCCTGCTCCTCCTCCTCCTCCTCCTCCTCCTCCTCTTCCTTCTCTTTTTCGTCCTTGCTGAGAAGTTATACCCTTCGATGTTGTCGTCGCCCTGGCTTCGTCTCAACTTTTGCCTGCTGACCCTGGCCGGGGCCTACAGCAGTGCGCGCGCGCGAGCGGCCTGCCGCTCATGAAGTGCGCGGGCCGCCCGACGGCCGTCGCTCGCGCGCGGCCGCCACCTTGAGAGCTCCGCGCGCTTCTCCTCGGGGGCCACGGCGCCGCCGTGGGCCCGAGGAGGGGGAGGTGCACATGCCGCCACCCTTCCCTCGCTCTCCCTCGCTTCGGGCCTCTTGGGAGGCCCTCGTCGCCGCCGCTGGCTTCGCCGCGAGGTCCTGGTCAGGGCGCGCCCCGGGAGAGGTCCGGGGAGCAGAGGATTGCAAAAAAACCAAGGATTGCAAACAAAAAACCAGGATTGCAAAAAACAACGAAGGATTGCAAAAAGGATTGCAAAAAAACCCGAAGGATTGCAAAAAAAACCCTTCAATCAAGGATTGCAAAAAAATCATTTTTGCAATCCTTTTTGCAATCCTGCAATCCTTCGTGTCAGTGCCTTTTGGTTCCCCCAGTGGGGCGTGCGGCGGGAGCCTCCAGCCAATGCAGCAGTGCCCCGCCGCCCCCCGCAGGGCGCCCTCCAGCGCGCGCGCGCGCCGTCGGCGGCGAGCCCCGGGGGGGCAGAGAGGGCGGGCTTGCTCGGAAGGCTCGGAAGCCCTCGGACCGCCCTCCGAGGAGTTCGTGGAGCTGTTTCCGACGGCGCAGAAGAACCTCTCGGGGAGGCCGGATGGCTTCTGAGAAGCCCCGCCGCCTCCTGAGAGGGCCTCCTTCTCCATCAGAAGGCGAGAGCCTACCCCCACTCCCAGTCCCGACTCATCCCCGAGCCGGCGATTCAAGGGGTCGGAACGGGGGGTGGGGGCGTTTCCTCCATTCCTGGACCCCGAAGAACCACCCCCCCCCCGGCCCCGACCCCCCGGACCGCGGGTTCGGGGAGGGTGTCGGGACTGGGGGTGGGGGGGTAGGCTTTCGCCTTCCCGCTCACGGCTCCGCTCGATCGCCGCCAAGCTTCGGCCAATGACAACGATCACGATCACAACGATCACAACGATCACAACGATCACAGCGATCACAACGATCACAGCGATCACAACGATCACAACGATCACAACGATCACAACGATCACAAGGATCACAAGGATAAGCTTGGGCCAATGCAGCGCCGCGGCGCCCCCGGCCCCTCGCCCAGCCGCGCACGCTCCATGTGCGCGGCTCGGCGGTGCGCGCTGCTCGCGCGCTGCTCGGCGGTGGGCGCGCCGCCGAGCGCGCACCCGCAGAGCGGGGGCAGCCTGTGCCCAGTCGCTGCCGCGGCGGCGAGCGAGGGGGGGATAAGGCCTCCTCCGAGGGCGGAGGAGGAGGGAGGAGGAGGAGGAGGAGGAGGAGGAGGAGGAGGAGGAGGAGGAGGAGGAGGGAGGAGGAGGAGGAGGAGGAGGAGGAAGAGGGGAGGAGAAGGAGGAGAGGGGAAGAGGAGAGGAGGAGGAGGAGCAGGAGGAGGAGGAGGAGGAGGCCTTTCGGCCTTTTGAGAAGTTTCCTGTGCCCGTGGAGAAGGCTTCGAAACTTCTCGGAGGGCCGGAGGACTTCCGAGCCTTCCGAGAAGGCCCGCCCCCTCTCGCTGCCACCCCCGGGCGCGCCGCCGAGCAGCTGTGCGCCGAGCTTGCGAGTGGGTTCGCTTGGGTATCTGCTCCCGCTCGTTCTTTTTGCCGTGCCCGTTATTGGGCTCGGGGGTGGCTTTGCCGAGGTCTCTTCCGACCCGCCGACCCTGGCAGGATGTCGCTGATCAATCACGCGTTCCACGGCCCCGCACGCAAAACATTCCTCCTCCTCCTCCTCCCTCTCTCCTCCTCCTCCTCCTCCTCCTCCTCCTCCTCTATTCCTCTCCTCCTCGTCCTCCCTCTCCTCCTCCTCCTCCTCCTCCTCTCCTCCTCCCTCCTCCTCCTCCTCCTCCTCCTCCTCCTCCTCCTCCTCCTCCGTCGCCTTCCGTCCTCCTCACCTCCTCTCCTCCTCCTCCTCCTCCTCCTCCTCCTCCCCTCCTCCTCCTCCTCTCCTCCTCCTCCTCCTCCCTCCCTCCTCCCTTCCTCCTCCCCTCCTCCTCCTCCTCCTCCTCCTCCTCCTCCTCCTCCTCCTCCTCCTCCTCCTCTCCTCCTCCTCCTCCTCCTCCTCCTTCTCCTCCCTCCCTCCCTCCCTCCCTCCCTCCCTCCCTCCCTCCTCCCCTCCTCCCTTTCCGTCCTCCCTCCTCCATCCCTCCTCCTCCTCCTCCCCCTCCTCCTCCCCCTCCTCCCTCCTCCCTCTTCCCCCTCCTCCTCCCTCCCCCCTCCTCCTCCTCCTCCTCCCCCTCCTCCTCCCCCTCCTCCTCCTCCTCCTCCTCCTCCTCCTCCTCCTCCTCCTCCTCCTCCTCCTCCTCCTCCTCCTCGTCCTTGTCCTCCTCCTCTTCCTACTCCTCCCTTTCGAAGGAACGGGGCCTCAGGGTCGGTCTGACAGCTGTGTGGCCACCACACATCTGGCACAACACAGGCTGCACCACATGCATTGCACAGCATAGATTGCTCCACACAGAGCGCACACCATACAGTGGGGGTGTTCGTCAAGGAATGTGCCCAGGAGGCTGCAGGCCCTGGAGGGTTCCTTATCTGATCAGGGCGGCGGTGATACCCATGGCCGCTCCGCGATTGGAGTTCCACCCCTTCCGGGACCCCAGAGTCCTTGTCTAAGGGCTCCATAGTCTCACAGAGTTTTTAGGCCCCCCACCCCTCCCCCTCCAGATGTTCCCAGGCGGGGATCCTTGTTGGGGTCTCTTCCGCCCGTCCTGTGGCAGCACGATCGGAGATCGGGGGGCCGGGTGCGAACGTGGCTGCGTGCCTGCCTGTCGGACCGACGCCACGGATGGTCGGCATGCGGAGGCGCAGCAAGCCTTTCTCTTGGGCACCTCCCGCGCGTCCGACGAGAATGCGCTTTTTGATGGCGTGCGCGCTGGCTGGCTGGAGGGCTGCCGAGGGACCCGCTGTTCTGCCTCTCCGATGGCAAAGCCCAGGCATTCGGGCGTGGCTTCTTCTTCCTCCAGCGCGTCGCGCTGCCCTCCAGTTTTGCCCGACGAGCCTCGGAGTTTAGAGGCGCCCGGACACTTCACTGAACGCGGCCTAGAAGGGTGTGTGTGTGTGTGTGTGTGTCTGTCTGTCTGTCTGTCTGTCTGTCTGTCTGTCTGTCTGTCTGTCTGTCTGTCTGCCTGTCTGTCTGTCTGTCTGTCTGTCTGTCTGTCTGTCTGTCTGTCTGTCTGTCTGTCTGTCTGTCTGTCTGTCTGTCTGTGTGTGTGTGTGTGGGTGTGTGTGTGTGTGTTTGCACAAGGTACAGGCAGAACGCGAAACGCGGGACTCAAATCAAACAAAAACCTGGACGATTGATTCCCTTCACTCCAGAAGGGGGCCTTCGCCAGAATTGTCTCCTGCCTAGACGTGGCGGTCTTGGGCGGGCTCCGCTCCAGCGTCTGGCGCGCCGTCCCAGGCCGCTTCCGGGGGGCCGCGCGCTTGCCGCGGCCTTCGCGGGGACGTCGGCACCCTTTCCCCGAGGCGGCGCGATGGAGGCGGCCGTGCGACCTGCGCGCACCGAGACAGGAGGGAATGCGCCGCATCCGAGCACGGCCGGAAGATTCTCCAGGGGTGCCGAGGGGTCGCGGCGCAATGCCACGGGATCCCTCTCATGTCCACGGCGGCGGCGCAGAATGCCTCATCATCAAGCTGCACCTGTTGTCGCTCGTCCTGGTGATGGGGTGGGCCTGCGATGAATCGCGTACGTGCGTCTTGTGCAGGCGTGCCTCCTGCCCGAACAGAAAGGGGCAGGGGGCCTAAAAACTTTGATCGTAGTCCATGCCCTCAGGGCCGTGCGAGCGGCCAGGGCTGCACGGGCGCGGGTGGGCCCGTGACGCTCTCTTCCTCGGCGGGGATGTGGCGGCCCGCCGCGCATGCCCAGGGTCACGGACGGGAGTTCTTTTGAGGCGTGCAGGTCTTCGGACGCGGAGTTTTCGGAGGAGGAGGACGAGGAGGAGGAGGAGGAGGAGGAGGAGGAGGAGGAGGACGAGGAGGAGGAAGGAGGAGGGGAGGAGGAGGTATGTCCGGAAGCAGGCCTCGGTGGCCGCTTCTCGGCTGCCGCGCGTCCAGCTTTTGCCTGCTCGCCGCAGCGTGCTGGCCCTCCTCCCCTCGTCGTTTTTGCTCTTTTCCTCCTCCTCCTCCTCCTCCTCCTCCCTCCTCCTCCTCCTCCTCCTCCTCCTCCCCTCCTCCTCCTGCTCCTGCTCCTCCTCCTCCTCCTCCTCCTCCTGCCCTCCTCCTCCTCCTCCTCCTCCTTCCTCCTTCCTCCTCCTCCTCCCCCCTCCTCCTCCCCCTCCCCTCCTCCCCCTCCCCCTCCGCATTCCTCCCCCTGTCGTCGTCCAGCTTTCGGCTTACAACCCGGCTCTGAGGCGTCCGTTTTTGACAGTCCAGGCTCTCGTGGAAGCCCCTCGCCGAAGCGCAGCTGCCAGAAGGCATCCCGACGGCGGAACGCCGCGCAGAACCTGTGAGAACTTCCGAACACCTTTTCGCGAGCTCGAGGAGTCCTCTCCTTTTCGCGAGCCCGAGGAGTCCTCGTTCCCCTCCGCGGCGGAGCTCGAGGGCGCGGTGGCCGCCCGCTGTCGCGAGGACGAGGCCGGGCGGCGAAGTCCGAAACCCGGCCTCGCCGATCCACGACCCAGGCCACTCGATGGGCGGCGGGGGCACGTGGAGAACCGCTGGTTGGGGAACCGATGCTTGGTGGGGGTAGGGTTCGGAGTGCGTCGGGCACGCGGAGCATCGATGGTTGGGGAACCGATGCTTGGATGGGGTAGGGTTCGGAATGCGTCGGGCACGTGGAGAACCGCTGGTTGGGGAACCGATGGTTGGTGGGGGTAGGGTTCGGAATTCGTCGGGCACGCGGAGCATCGATGGTTGGGGAACCGATGCTTGGATGGGGTAGGGTTCGGAATGCGTCGGGAATGTGGAGAACCGCTGGTTGGGGAACCGATAGTTGGTGGGGGTAGGGTTTGGAATTCGTCGGGCACGCGGAGCATCGATGGTTGGGGAACCGATGCTTGGATGGGGTAGGGTTCGGAATGCGTCGGGAATTCGGAGAACCGCTGGTTCGAGAACCGACGGTTCGTGGGGGGTGGGGTTCGAGCGCGTGGCAGGCGTGGAGGAGGTCCGAAGGGCCCCGCTGCAGCAGAAGGAGGAGGAGGAGGAGGAGGAGGAGGAGGGAGGGAGAGGAGGGAGGAGGAGGAGGAGGAGGAGGAGCTTGGAGGAGGAGGAGGGAGGAGGAGGAGGCGTTGGAGGAGGTCCGAAGGGGGCGGGGGGGGGGGCGGCGCGCCGGCCCCGCCCGCGTGAGGCTTAGCCCACTGTCCCAGATCGTGGGGGCAAGGCGCTGTCAGAGGGGAAAATCCGCAGCGGGGGCAGCGCTTGGCGCTGTGGTGCCAGGTCGCGGGGGGGGGAGCACGCGAGCACGGAGCAGGGGAGGAGGAGGGAGGAGGAGGAGAGGGGGAGGAGGAGGAGGAGGTGGAGGGAGGAGGAGGAGGAAGAGGAGAAGAGTAGGAGAGGAGGAGGAGGAGGAGGAGGGGGAGGAGGAGGAGAGGAGGAGGAGGTGGCGCGCAATGCTGCGTTGCGCGTGGGACCATTCGCAGAGGGCGACAATGCGAGCAGTCTGGTTCAAATCTCGTATGTCGCCATTCCGAGGAGCGGCGGCAGGACGATGGAGTCGTCGGTGAGGGTCTGGAGGGGTTCTTCGTGTCGGCGGCGAGCGAGGGGGGAAGTGTGAAGGAGGAGGCCCTCTCAGAAGGCAGCGGGGCTTCTCAGAAGCCCTCGCGCCTTCTGAGAAGTTTGCTTTGTCTCCGGGGAAGGGTTAGAACACTTCTCAGAAAGCACGGGAACTTCCGAGTCTTCTGTGAAGGCTCGCCTGTTCTCATTTCCCCCGTGGGTTCGCCGCCAATCTTCGTGGGGTGTCTGGAGAGCGCTGTCGGGAGCGTTTTTGGGAGACAGGTTTCGGGGCTCTTTGGGGGCCTCTGGAGAGCCTCGGCCGGGCCCTCTGGGGGCCCGTTCGGGGGGGGCCTCGGTGCCTCTTGAGGGCTCTTTGGGGGGGGCCTTGGTGGCCCTTTGGGGCCTCGGTGCCCTTTGGGGGCTCTTTGGGGGGCCCTTGGGGGCCCTCTGGTTGCCCTTTTTGGGAGCTTCGGTGGGTCCCTTTGGGGGGGCCCTTTGGGGGAGCCCTTTGGGGGCCCATTGGGGAAACCAGTTGAGGGGCCCTTTGGGGGGCCCTGTGGATGCCGCCCCTCGGAGGAGCCGCAGCAGGGCGCGCCCGCACCCGGGGGCCTTCGCGCGGCGGGCGGGCCCATCGCGGCCGTCGCCGCGGCGGCGGCGGAGCCAGCGCCGCGGAGGCTGCATTTCTGCGCCGTGTTCGGGCTCCCCCCCTCCTCCTTTTCCTCCTCCTCCTCCTCCTCTTCCTCCTCCTCCTCCTCCTCCTCCTCCTCCTCTTCCTCCTCCTCCTCCTTCTCCTCCTCCTCTTCCTCCTCCTCCTCCTCCCTCCACCTCGTCCTCTTCCTCTTCCTCCTCCTGTTCCTGTTCCTCCTCCTCCTCCTCCTCCCTCATCCTCCTCCGTAGCCATTTTGGCTCAAGAGCTTCCGAGCCTTCAGTGGCTCCTGGTGGCCGCGCGCGCCCGCCCGCGAGCGGGATCCTCTGCAATGGCGTCGCTTGCTGGTTCCTAGTGGCGCTCATCATCCTCCTGTTCCTTTCCCACCTTTGTGTGGGCGCTGCTGCGGGCAGTACTTCTATGCCGAGCTGCAGATCATGGGTAGCCACCGCTGCTGCGGGTGCCCCGCTATCCGTCGCTCAACGTCGCCGCCGTGAGCGGGATGCCTGGTATGCTACTTCCCATAGTGCACCTGGGAAGGCATTCGTCGAAGTGGACGTGGTCGACAGGGCTGACGTCAAGCGCATGGCCCATGGCAAGGCCCTACACCGCCTTCTCGATGAGGATGGGCTCGCGCACGGACTGCCCCCTGCCGCTTCTGGCAAAGTCGCTGCGCATCGTGCTCTCCGCCGCGGGACTCTTACTCCTGCTGGCCATGCGGCAGCGCGTTCGACCTTGGAGCTGGCGGACGCCGCCAAGCACCACCATCTTTCTCTTCAAGGCACAGCTGTCCATGCTGCGGAGCTACTTGCTGGACGCCGAGCTCCTGCTGGGCATCGGGCCCGTGCTGGAGATCGGGACCGTGTTGGAGTTGGGGACCCTTCTGGGCTTCGAGACCGTGCTGGACGTCGGGACCCTGCGGGAGATCGTGATCGTCCTGGGCAATTGGACCATCATGCTGCTCCTCGCCCTCGCTGGGCTGATGCACCTCTTGACAGCGACGATGCCGATGGAGAGCGCGCCCGAACCCCGCCTCGAGCGGGTGGCCAGGCCCTTGCCCACACGTTGGTGCCCCCCCGCTGTCCCACCTCAAGAGGACAGTGTCCCTCCACGAGAGGAAGACCATGCAGTCGACGCTCCTGCAGGTGATCTTCGTGCGGGTGTCCGTATGGAGGCCTGCGCCGACGTTGCTACACCTTCCCTGGCGGCGTCTCCTTCGGTTGATTTCCTCTTCTCGTGCATCGGCCAGCTCACGTACACGATGAATGAGCTCATCTGCATGATGGCCACATTGCTCGCCGCACACAACGTGACCACCGCCTACTCCAACACCGACTTCCTCACTGCCTACACCAACGACCTGGTGCACCTGGACAATGGCTCTTTCCTGTCTGACCTCGACTTCGAGACCGAGCTCTGCATCTTCGAGGAACGCGCTCGGCTCCCTGCTGGCGTTCCTGGCTGTGGTGCTGCCGTTCCGCATACCGCTGATGTTCGGCCTGACGGGTTCGCGGAACCTCCTGGACCTCAAGATGCTCAACACTCTCTTCGTGAGATTATTCCCGCTAATGGTTCTGCTGGTGGCGCCCCTCTCCCTGCTCTTGGTGACGTTGCCGACCTCCCTGGCTCAGGCTCTGCGGGTGGCTATGCTGCTCCTCCTGCTGCATGCGCTGTGCCTCCGGAAGCTCGTGTCGATCCTGGCCCTCACATCCGGCGTGCTGAGCATAGTGCTCCTCTGGTTCCTGACCCCGCTGACCCTCAACAAAATCATTTGGGTGATGCGCCTGCCACTGCGGATGGTGGTCGTCTGGTTGCTGCTCGCGCTCCTCACGGCGGTTGCGCTGCTGCTGTTGCCCCTGCCCTTCCTCATTGGCACCGTGCTCGTGCCACGCGCGACTTCTACTGCCTGAAGGTCCTCCATGTGGGCCCGAGGATCTCGACTCGTACGGCATGCCGCTACCACCCGCGCTGTTCATTCGGAAATGACTGCAGCAACTCCCACCTGACAGAGCTGACCGACGAGGCTCTTGCCGCTGAGCATGCGCGCCTTTGCCGCCTCCAGCCTGAGTGTGCCGACGCTCAGCCGCTGACCGTGGAGCTCTGGCTGGCTCGGGCTGCCGGCCGCACTGCCCCGGAGGTGCACGCCTTGACTGGGCTAGCCGCTGCTCCTGCGTTTGACGCTGGCGCCAGTGCACATGCTGTCCTCCTAACTGCTCCGCCATCTGTCACCAAGGTTGAGACTGACGACCTGTCTCTCAACATGTCGGGGCCTCCGCATCAAGGTAGTGGACACCATAGTCCTCGGCCTCACTTACATGGGGATGTAGAGCCTACTGGTATTCTGGGCCTTTCTGCTGACGATGGTGCTGCTGAGGGTCCTGCCGCGGCTGATCACCCTCTCCCTGAGCTTCTTCCTCCACCAGACGATGCTGCTGGCGGGCTTTCTCTTCATCAACTTCCTGCTGAGCTTCTGCCTCATGAGAGTTGCGCTGCTGCGGGTCCTGCCGATGCTGGTCATGCTCTCCCTGAGCATCCTCCTCGACCAGACGATGCTGCTGGCGCACTCGCTGTACTTCCACCCCATGATGGGCTTCAGCTTCACGTCGACGGGGCTGCTGCAGGTCCTGCCGCTGCTGGTCACACTCAGCACACACATACGCCTCCTGCGGGACATCTTCCTCCACCTGACGGCGCTGGGCGGCCTCCCCCTGTAGGCGCTGCGCTGCTACTCCCTGGGCAAGGGCTCCATGGCGCAGGCGCTGATGACCAAGGGTGCGATTTGGGTCCCATCGCTGCCAGCACTGCGGGGCAGAGCGTGCGTGATACAGAAGTTGGTGTGCACCTCAATGGGCGTGTGATGCCTGGCGCACGCTTCTTTCGGCATAACGATCTACTGCAGCCTCGCTCATGCAGCAAGGCTCTCCTCGCTCACGTCGACTTCCTTATCGTGCGCGGCATCACCGACCCGTGCGGCGTCATGGAGGCCGTCTCCTTCTACTCGGCGGGGGCTCCCCCCGCCTTCGTCTCTGCCCCTGCGGGCGCGGAGATCGACACAGACACACCAAACTTCACGTTCGATGAGACGCCTGCAGTGAACACGTTCTCGACCGCCGTCGATGTCACCACCCCCGACCGCTACGCCATGCCCCTGAGAGGCTCAGAGGGTGCGCGGCGCGCGGCTTAGGCGGGAGGAGACTGCACCCTTGGACGCTCGCTCCTCCCTCATCCTCCCTCCTGCTCCTCCTCCTCCTCCTTCTTCTCCTCCTCCTCTTCCTCCTCCTCCTCCTCCTCCTTCTCCTCGTCCTTGTCCTCCTCCTCCTCCTCCTCCTCCTCCTCCTACTCCTTCCTTCGCAGGAACGGGGCCTCGTCCTCCTCCTCGTCGTCCTCCTCCTCCTTCTGCTCCTCCTTCTCCTCCTCCTCCTCGTCCTCGTCTCGTCCTCGTCCTCGTCCTCTTCCTCGTTCTCGTCCTCCTCCGCGTCCTTCTCCTCCTCCTCGTCCTCCTCCTCCTCCTCCACCTCCTCGTCGTCCTCCTCCTCCTCCTCCTCCTCCTCGTCCTCCTCGTCATCCTCCCTTCCTCGCTCCTCTCTACTCCTTCTCGGCTTCCTCCTCCTCCTCCTCCTCCCTCCTCCCTCCTCCTCCCTCCACCTCCTCCTTCTTCTGTCCTCCACCTCGTCCTTGTCCTCCTCGTCCCGTCCTCCTTCTCCTTCTCATCATCCTCTCCTCCTCTCGGCTTCTCCTTGTTTCTTCTCCGTTTCTTGTCTTCCTTCTCCCTCGCGTCCTCCTCCTCCTCGTCCTCCTCCTCCTTCCCCTCTCCTCCTCTTCCTTCTCCCCTTTTCGTTCTCGTCCTCCGTGTTCCCTTCCCCCTGCCCCCTCCTTCTCCTCCGTCTCAGCCTCATCAATCTCCACGTCCTCCTTTTCCCCTCGTCTTCATCTTATCACCATCACAAATCACCATTCCATCATCATCATCATCATCATCATCATCATCATCATCATCATCATCATCATCATCATCATCATCATCATCATCTCATCATCATCATCATCGTCATCGTCGTCATCACCATCACAATCGTCATCATCGTCATCATCACCATCCTCATCCTCATCCGCGTCATCATCATCAGCATCATCAGCATCATCATCATCAGCAGCAGCAGCAGCATCATCATCTCCCTTCTCCTCCTCGTCCGCCTCGTCCTTCTCCGCCTCCTCTTCCTCGTCCTCGTATTCGTCCTCCTCATCGTCTCCCTCCTCCTCGTCTTCCTCCTCCTCCGCCTCGTTGTCCTCCTCCTCCTCGTCCTCCTCGTCCCCGTCCCCGTCCTTGCCCTCCTCTTCGTCCTTCTCGTCGCCCTCCTTCTCCTCGTCCCCGTCCCCGTCATTGCCTCCCTCCTCCTCCTCATCCTCCTCCTCCTCCTCCTCGTCCTTCTCGTCGTCCTCCTCCTCGTCCTCATCGTCCTCGTCCTCGTCCTCCTTCTCGTCCTCGTCCTACTCCTCGTCATCCTCCTCCTCCACGTCTTGCTCGTCCTCGTCCTCTTCCCCCTCCTCCTCCTCATCCTTCTCCTCCTCATCCTCCTCGTTCTCCTTCTCCTCGTCCTCCTCCTCGTCCTTGTCTTCCTCGTCCTCGTCGTCCTCCTCGTCCTCCTTATCCTCCTCCTCCTCCTCATCCTCCTCCTCCTCCTACTCCTCGTCCTCCTCCGCCACCTCGTCCTCGCTCTCCTCCTCGTCCTCCTCCTCCTGCTCCTCCTCCTCCTCCTCCTTCTCCCCCTCCTCGTCCTCCTCCTCGTCCTCCTCGTCCTCGTCCTCGTCGTCGTCCTCCTCATCCTTCTCCTCCTCCTCCTCCTCCGCCTCCTCCTCCTCCTCTTCCTCCTCCGCCTCCTCCTCTCCATCCTCGTCATCCGTTTCATCCTCCTCCCCGACCTCGTCTTCCTCCTCCTCTTCCTCCTCCGCCTCGTCCTCCTCCTTCTCGTCTTCCTCCTCCTCATCATCCCCCTCATCAGCATCATCAGCATCATCATCATCATCATCATCATCATCAGCAGCATCATCATCATCATCCTCATCCGCATCATCATCAGCATCATCATCAGCATCATCATCAGCCTCATCATCAGCAGCATCATCATCAGCATCATCATCATCAGCATCATCCTCAGCACTATCATTCTCAGTATTAGCGTAATCATCAGCATCAGCATAATCATCATCATACTCATCATCATCATCAGCATCATCATCATCATCATCATCATCATCATCATCATCATCATCATCATCATCATCATCATCATCATCATCATCGCCATCGTCATCAACATCAACATCAACATCAACATCAATATCATCACCATCCTCGTTTTCCTTGCCCTCGTCCCCGTCCTCCTCGTCCTCCTCGTCCGCCTCGTCTTCCTCGTCCTCCTCGTCCTCGTCCTCGTTCTCTTCCTCCTCCTCTTCCTCCTCCTCTTCCTCCTCCTCCTCCTCGTCCTCCTCCTCCTTCTCCTTGTCCTCCTCCTCCTCCTCCTCCTCCTCGTCTTCCTCGTCCTCCTCCTCTTCCTCCTCCTCGTCCTCCTCCCCCTCCTCCTCATCATCATCGTCCTGGTTCTCGTCCTCGTCATCCTCCTCGTGCTCCTCCTCCTCGTCGTCATCCTCCTTCTCCTCCTGCGCCTCCTCAAGCGCCTTCTTCTCCGCTTCCTCCTCTTCCGCATCCTTCTCCTTCACCTCCTCCTCTCCTCGTCCTCCTCCTTGTCCTCCTCCTCCTCCTCCTCCTCCTCTGTCCCCCTTCATCACCTCCTCCCCCATGGCGCTACTCCTTCCTCCCTCTACTCCTCCTCCTCCTCCTTCGCTACGTCCTCTCCTCGTCCTCCTTTTCCTCCCCCTCTCCTCCTCTCCTCCTCCTCCTCCTCCCCTCCTCCTCCTCCCTCCTGCGCTCCTCCCCGTCCGCTCCTTCCCTCCTCGTGCCCGTGTTCCCTCCCCCTCTTCCGTCCGCCCCCTCTCCTCCACGTCCCCCCTCTTTCCTCCTGCTCCTCCTCCTCCTCTTTCCACTCTTTCCTCCTCCTCCTCCTCCTCCTCCTCCTCCTCGTTCCTCCTCCTCCCCTCTTGCCTCCTCCTCCTCCTCCTCCTCCCTCTTCCTCATGCTCCTCCTCCTCCTCTTCCATTCTTTTCCCAATGTATGATTTCCCCCTGTGGGCACCCCGAGGCCGGGCGTTTCGCCTGAGACTTCCTCACCATGTGTAACTCTGAAGCTTAAACGTTGGCAACGGTTTCACAGATGGAGGGTGGTTCTCAAAATGTGGCTCTCGCCTTCGCGCCGCTTTTAGAAATTTGCAAGAGCTTCACCGATTGAGGGCGGGTGGTTTTCAAAATGTAGCTCTCGCCTGAGCGCCGCGCACATTCGTTTTAAACAAATCCAAGAGCTTCATGGATTGAGGGCGGGTGGCTTTCAAAATGTGGTTGGCGCCTCAGCGCCACGCACATTCGGTTTTAGAAACTTTCAAGTGTTTCACGGATTGAGGGCGGGTGGTTTCAAAATGTGGTTCTTGCTTCATTGCCGCGCACATCCGGTTTAAAAATTTGCAAGAGTTTCACGGATTGAGGGCGGGTGGATTTGAAAATGTGGCTCTCGCCTTCGCGCCGCGCACATTCTTTATAGAAATTTGCAAGAGTTTCACGAGTCCGGATCGTCAAGACGCAGCAGTCAGGTTGATCCGTGGCGTTGAAATCTCGAGAACAATGTTTCGGCATGCTTCAGGATCCTCAGACGGTTGTCTTCCAACGAGGCACTTCCCTCAATGGAAATGAACCGTTGTAGGGACCTGTGGAGAGGGAGCTTGGAGGGAGGGTTAATTTCAACATCGTTTATGGCCCTGGCGGTCCCACTGCTCCTCCTCCTCCTCCTCCTCCTCCTCCTCCT